AAACGATACGATACGAAAGTCATTCAAGAAACAGAAAAGTTTTAGTTTAGGTTATTTAATCCGACAAAATTACAAGATTCTTAAAAATTCAGTCTTGTCCCAGAAAGGCACCTTAACAAAAATTATTTTTAGAAATATGTTTTTTCTTGAAATTATTTAAAAAACAACCTTAAAAAATAATGTACAGAAAAATTAAATTAGAAATAATCAATTAAAAACTTCATAAGTGGGTTCAATATGGGCTCCGTGAACTCTGATACACTCGCGGGCACGACGAATAGAGGACTGCTGTACTCGCCACAACAACCCAGCATTGTTCCTTATCGCATCACAATGAAATGTGATTCTCTGTAAAAGTTCCTCCCTAGTATCAACCGGAGAGGAATACACCAAGGTTTTGAGATGTCCCCACAGGTGAAAATCCATTGGCGTTAAGTCAGGAGAGCGTGGATGCCAGGCAATGGGACCTCCTCTGCCTATCCAACGGTTTGGATAGACGTTATTCAGATAGTCCCGTACAGCAACGCTAAAATGAGGTGGGGCTCCATCATGCATAAAATACATGCGCTGGCGGGTTTCAATTGGCAAATGCTCTATTGAATCCAGAAAAGCATTTTAAGGAACTGTAAATAAATTTCACCATTCAATCTTGGCGGCAATACGCATGGTCCAATCAAAAAATTGCCAATTATTCCTGCCCAAACATTAATTGATTGGAACTGATATTGATAATGATGAACAACAGTGGCATGAGGGTTTTCATCAGCCCATACATGCGAGTTATGTAAATTTACAATACCATTTTTGGTAAACCCTGCTTCATCGGTAAAAAGAATAGAGCTAATGAAGTTTGGATTTGTCCGTTGCTGATCTAACATCCAGTTTGCGAACTGGATTCTACGAGGAAAATCTTGAGAAAGTAGTTGATGCACTTTTTGCAAATGATAAGGTTGTAACAACTGTTCTTTAAGTACTTTATGAATTATCGTTTTTGACGTATGAAGCTGCGAGGCTAATCTTCGAGTGCTTATTGAAGGAGTATCAGCTACACTATCCAAAATATTTTCCTCCAATTGCACCGTACGTACTGTTCTTCTCACACCAGCATCAGTACTTGTTTTCCCAAAACTTCCTAAAAATTATTAAAGAAAGTCAATAATGTTGCCTTGTTAACTGAGAATCGCCCACCAGTCTCTCTTAGACGTTGATCAAGTCGCTGAAATGTTTTCTGATTTGGAATATTGCCATCAGGATATCTTTCTTCATACAACTTTCTTGCTTCCAAAGCATTGCAAGATGCAAGCCCGTACATAAGATGCATATTTGCATACTCACTAAATGTGTATCCCATTATTTAATTAAATTTACCAAGATATTCAAAATTCAATAAATTAATATCGAAGTAAAGGATCAACGTGCTAACAATATGAAAGATGACAAGATTTAAAATACACACGTCAATGCAAGATATTTATTATTTCGTAGGTACCATAGTAACGTTTGTAAAACAGTGCGTTTTTTAATGCTAATGACAGTTTTATTTCAATTACTTTCGAATCACACTTTGTTGCAGACAGTGTTAGGTACAACATGTTTTCTACAAGCGTGCGGAAAGTGTCTACAAGCAGAGAATCTCGAAATTTTCTTTATCGGTTTCCATTTTAAGTTTTATTTTTTTTTGTTTCCACATGCATAATCGTGCGGAAAGTTGCACTTTTCCGCTTGTAGAAAAAAAATTTGAAATCATGGTCTTTTTAATAAAAATAAAACATTAATTCTTTATTATTTTTTTTCTCGAAAACGGTTAATTTTATCGACAATAAACAAGAGTACCTTTTCTTTAGCTTAATGTTCAAGGTATCCAAATTTATTTTTTTAACTCCCTATCAGACAGGGTGTTAAAAATGTAAGCATTAAAATATACAACCTAGTCCGCCCCTGGTAAACTAAACAAGCTAATTATGTTTTAAGGGCAGTATTTTAAGAGGTCCTTACTACTGTTTATCATATTAAATTTTCATTAAATTATATTAAGTAGTTTAAAAGTTATTCAAGAAAAACTGATTTCCAGTGGCGTCCTTTAGGAGGCCGTATCTCCGTAGGGAGGGCCGCTAGGAAAAAAATTTATGGGAACTTGTCATCTTATTTTTTAATGTTCTATCTGAATCCGAGAGATTTCCCACATTTTCCGGGACACCCTGTATATAAACTCCTGGACAAAATTAACGCAACATCAAAAAATTTGCCACATTTTTTATGCTATTTTTTTGTTGAATTTATGATCCGATTTGAATGATTTTTTTTTTGGATTGTAGGTTGGTTCCTTGACAATGTCATAATTTTCGCTGTTTATGATAAAAAGTTCATTTTCGATTTATACCGGGTGTAATAAAAATGTAATGTTTTTTTCCGAAAATTCGTATCACCCTGTGGAGTATACTAGCAACTGAAACATATAGCAGTTGACATTAGACGGTAGGTTCATCTTTCGCCAACATTTTCTTTTTTGGTTTACTTCATTATCTCTCTTATTAAAGGAGATACGCCGTTTTATACCGTAACATGTTTTTATAGACTTTATTATTCAAAACAATCATTGTTAAATATTTTCAAGTAGGCTATGGACGTTTTCTGACATTTCAAGAGATGTTTAGATTATTTGTTATCTGTATAATTGTATAATTTCTGCTCGCTTTGATAAATGCATAATCCTGCATAAATAAACTATTCGGTCCCAAAAAAGGAACAAATGGCATTACATGTTCAATTACAATGTTTTCTAGATAATAATCGGCGTTCATTGATCTTACACGTATAGGGACTGCGTCCGTTGAAGCATATTCCTCCCCAAAACATTACAGAGCTTTCACCAAACGGGATTTTAGGAGAAATATTGCCACTTGCAAATCTCTCTCCTGACCTTCGCCAAACACGTTCACACCATCAGGAGAATTAAGACTAACTCTCGTTTCATCAGAAAATAAAACCTTCTTCCAATCATTAACAGTCCAATGTTGATAATTTCTGGCAAAACGCAATCTTGAAACTTTGTGCTCTCTAGTAAGTAATTGTTTCTTTGCAGGTCTTCTCTTGCTTAAATCTGCCTCATTTAAACGTCTCCTGCAGGATCACAATCATGATTGTTCAAAACGATATTGTATTATGGCGAGCAGTTCTAAGCTCATAATTGTTCGAGACGATATTGTATTACGGCGAGCAGTTCTAAGCTCACTTTTTAGCCTAGTACTAGTAATCTTCCTGTTTCTAGAGCAGTTTGCCTAATAAAACGCTCATCCCTTGGATCGGTACATCGTTTTCGCCCTTGTACTGACCTTAAAGAGTAAGATCCTGTCTCGTTAAATCGTTTAACCATACGACTTATAGTCGAACGATGTCTTCCTATCACATAAGCAACATTACATCGAATAGCCCTCATCCACCAAAGTTAAGTCTCTTACTGCTTCTTCTGTCGAAAAATTTTTTAGACGATTAATTTTTCAAGATTAAAATACGAAACGAACATTTAATAAGCAGTTTTCGAACAGTTGTTATAAGTATGGCGAATTTTCCATAGCCTACTTGAAAACATTTAACAATTAATGTTTTGAATAATAAAGTCTATAAAAACATGTTATGCTATAAAACAGCGTATCTCCTTTAATAACAGAGATAATGAAGTAAACCAAAAAAGAAAATGTTGGCGAAAGATGAACCTACCGTCTAATATCAACTGCTATATGTTTCAGTTGCTAGTATACTCCACAGGGTGATACGAATTTTCGGAAAAAAACATTACATTTTTGTTACACCCGGTATAAATCGAAAATGAACTTTTTATCATAAACAGCGAAAATTATGACATTGTCAAGGAACCAACCTACAATGCAAAAAAAAATCATTCAAATAGGATCATAAATTCAACAAAAAATAGCATAAAAAATTTGGCAAATTTTTTGATGTTGCGTTAATTTTGTCCAGGAGTTTATATATATATATATATATATATACACAGTGAGCGCGTTAAAATCCCCCCTGTTAACTTTTGAACCAAATAAGATATCGATGTCGGACAAAAACCAGGGTAAACTATATTGTGTTTGCTACTTTTTGACGTCAAAATTAAATTTTTTTGCCTAACAATTAAGTGTCAAGAGGGCAGTATCTACTTAAAATTTCAAATGGAAAGGGGGTGCTTGTTATATCTCATTTGAAAGGTATTTTAATTCTCTATATAACACTTTTTGTTTTTAAAATCCGTTTAACCATAGCTTAGTTATTAGGGTTTAAAATTTTTAAAAACACGTTTTATTTTGGTTTTAAATTATTAAGAAAAATTTAAATTAGATGTTTGAAATGTTCCCCTTGGACAGCTTGACACACAAATAGCCTATCTTCAAATTCATTTCTAACATTAGTAAAAGTTTCTTGAGTAATACTAGCACATTCACGTCCAATCCGGTGTTTAAGATCATCTATGGTTTCCGGTTCTGTAATGTAGACCTTCGATTTTAAATATCCCCACAAAAAAGTCAAGTGGCGTTAAATCGGGAGAACGAGCCGGCCATTTGGTAGGACCACGCCTACCAATCCACCGATTTGGGCAACTGTTATCAAGCCATTGTCTAACATCCCTAAAATAATGTGGGGGCGCTCCATCCTGCTGAAATATGATTTCTCTGTTAAACGGATTTTAAAAACAAAAAAAGTGTTAAATGAAGAATTAAAATACCTTTCAAATGAGGTATCACAAGCACCCCCCTTTCCATTTGAAATTTTCAAGTTGATACTGCCCTCTTGGCACTTGTTCGGCAAAAAAAAATTCATTTTGACGTCAAAAAGTGGCAAACACAATATAGTTTTGGCCGACATCGATATCTTTTTTGGTTCAAAAGTTAACAGGGGGGGATTTTAACGCGCGCTCACTGTATATATATACATTATATATATTATATTACAACTTTTTTAGTAATAATTTTTAGTTTCGATTTTAGTTATCATTGTTTTATTTATTTCAATATAATAAATAATATATTTGTTCAATTGAACTTATATTTAAAGTGTGATGATCATTTATTTCTCTATAATTTATTTATTTAATTTAAAATATTTGTACAAAAACAATTTGAGGTGAAAAAATAAAATTAATTATAAATCATTAATTGCTTCTAAGGGTTCTATACTTTCTATAAGGCAAATTGCTGCACTTCGTGCGATATCACCATGCGTAGGTCCAGTAATAAGTGCACAAGGTTCCATTACACTTAATTCTTCGCGTTTGTAAAATCTTTCCATAAAAATCTTTAGATTTTCTATCGATAATGTGCCATCTTCTTGTTGAAATCCCTGCTTTTTGTAGCTGCAAGCTAGAAAGTCCTTATATTTTCTATCTTCCGGGAAAGTTCTGGTAGCTACGGCCTTTAGAATCATTTCCTTTTCAATGCCAATTTTGTCGATACAATCCAAAGCTATTTGGTTCCTCATTTCTCTGTCCTCTTCATTGCCTAATTTTATTGGCTTCTGAAATTATATTGCGTTTTTATTTCGAGATAAATATTCTAAAGCATTCATATTCACAAAATAACTAACAAAAAAAATAACTGCAATATTTTAAATAACTAGGTAATTTAAATAATAAAATTTCTTGGTAATAATTTTTATCAAATTTGTATTTGCGTGGTAATAAAATATTAATCAATAAAAGTAAATTGTAAATTTCTTCAAAATTAACTTAATTATATAATAAATACGTAGACAATTGATTTTAAACAGGAAGGAGGAAATCGAAAACCTTTATATTTGTAGGAAATAAAAACGTCTTTTAACATTTAAAATCTATTAGTAACAAAGTAAGGCCACTATAAAGCATCTTAGCGTAATCCTATTTTATTTATAAAAAACTTTTTTTTTATATAAAACGTATTTATTTTATGAATGTCGCTTACCTGTGGGAAGCCACTGCAAATAGTAAATAAAACCACAACCAAACAGTACTTCATTTTAGCAGCTTTTAATTTATTAAGATAACTATTGTTGAAAAATTTAATAATATATATAAATTATCGAAAGCCATTTTCAAGGTTATCATATTTTATCAATATTTATTATTAAAAAAAGATAGGTCAATTATTTACATCATGGAGCATATTAATTACAAATATCAAGAATTTGTATAGTATCGTTTCGGTATTTTTATTTGCAAATTTCGCGAATGCGCCATATTTTTCACCCCTTGTTTTTAGGAGTTATTTGTTTATTTGTGGAATATTTGATTAAATTTATTTATCATAATTTTATTTTTGTATATTTATATTAATAAATAAAAATATAAATTATATTACTTTTATAATTTTAAGGGTTAAATATAATAGTGGTTTTTCAATATAATAGTTTTATAATTACATACGTATTTAAGTTTATTACTAAAATTCAACTTTTTTCATTTTTTACATAATACACAAATTTTAATAACAAAATATTTGCTAAATTTTAAAAATCACGCCTAATCCTATGATAAGTCTTATAAGCAGCTTATCTCATTAAAAAAAATAAAGCCAGACCCCTTTCAAAAATATGAAATATTATTTTAAAAAATGATGGCTTAAAAAACTGTACCTACAACAATTTAATAAATTTAATTTTGTAATCAAATTATATTAAAATTATACACATTCATAAATCGTATAAAAAGGCTTAAAAATTTAATATAATATATTATAACTTTTTTAGTAATAATGTTTGGTTTCTAGATCTAAAACGCGAAAATAGTACTTCATGAGTATAACTTTTTTTTAAATATTAATGGTACAATAAATTTGTTTAAAATAATTTATAGTAAAGTAGTAATTCAAAATTGCAATTTAACCTTTTGACCCATCATCACTAGTTTAGTTTTTGGATTTTAACATTTCTGTAAGTGAAATATTAATAATATCATATTATCAATATATCATATTACCAAGATTTTTTGTAGATTTAATGCTCTTTAAGAATTATCAGTCATTAAAAAATAAAATATTGCTATATTGAATGCAGGAAGAAAAAATGTTAAACATATTTTCCTGGGTTATTTCTATGGGAAATTTTAAAACTTAATAAGAAACCTCTTAAAATTAAAGTTAAGTTAATTTGACAATATAGTATATTATGTATTAAGTTTGATAAACGCCATTTAATTCACATAACTAAATGAGTGTCTAGAAAAAAAAGTTGTATACTATTCTTTTTCTACAACAAATACTATCTAAAAAATGATTTAAATTAAATATTTGTAAAAATCGACATCTATACAAAAATAAATTATCCCAATAATGATTTTTGACGTAATGTAGCGGAGTGATGACTCATCGCCGATGAGTCATCGCCGATGAGTCATCGCCGGTGAGTCATCGCCGGTGACTCAGCGCTCGAATAATCGAGAGTGTGGGGCTCGCTAGAATGTTCCAGAAGACGTAGGCGCTGAATATATAAGGAACGACGCATCATGGAGAGTCAGTTGAGCTTTGGTACTCGCGAAGAAATAAATAAATATAAGTGCAAATAAATAAACTAGTAGTAATATAAATAATTAGTATACTATAGTTAAGTTATTAAATAAATAGTTTAGTTCGTTAATTAACCAGTGCGTGTTTTAATTCACACTACGAACAGTTAAAAACGTTACAGTAATTTTCACCATTAACATTGTCCGTTATTATTTTAATTAAACTTAACAATTATTTATACTTTTTCTGTGTAAATCAAAATTTTTCCCTTAAAAATAGACAAACAATCGATATAGAAGCAGTTTTTCACAGTAAAAGAGAAGAGAATGTTTTATGGGCACTGTACGCAAAATTTGTAACGCTTTATCAGTTAAATCTAGTTAACTGCACTACTACGGCGAAATCAAAAGATCCGTACAAACGTTTATAAAATATTTTTAAGTATTAGCGTCAGGAAACTATTTAATACTTTTGTTTTGAGATAATAAAATAATTTTCACATTTAGTAGATAGGCATTTTATTTGACAACAGTCAAATAACTTAAAACTAACTTCATACTGTGACTAAAAACCTGTTGCTTACTTCAACCCGTGACTAAAGCGCCATAAAACTTTGTCAATGTGTATTTAAAAGGTCACTTAGTGACATGGAAACATGCACGAGAAGGGGGGTAGAAAACATTTTTTTTCTAAAATGGAGTAGAAAACCATGATTGATTTTTATCAAGCATTTCAGGTTTTATTAACGCTAAAGACTTTAAAATGCTAACTAGATTTTAATACTCTTTTAAATAAATCACACATACGCAACTTTTAAGTATTTATTAACACAAAAAAAACAATAAAACTACTCGTTTAATATCTTAAAGAAATACTCCAGCTCTATGCCAGTATCATCGGGCAAGTCCGTACAATGCACCGCATTTTTGTACTTGTCTACCCCGAATTTAGCTCTTAAAGAATTGGGTCGAATTTGCTTGGCAATTTCGGTATCGTACGGGCCACAAAACTTTCTAAATTGACCGTGCACATCGCAATCGCCCGATTTTGAGGCCACCTCCAAGGCCAAACACGGCCCATCCAGAAAACTCAAAACCAGCGCGTTGTAATCGCTGATAACGCCTTTGTAAACCTCGAGAAACTCATCGGCGTTGGGCTTGTTCAAATTAAACATCTGCATCGCAGTGATCGCGAAGTTTTCGTTGGCTATCAGCTTAACTATTCTTCCGATGTTGCCGTCTTTCACGGCGTGTGGTTTAATAACGCAGCACGTGGTGTTTTTTTGACGCAAGGCAGTGGTGGATCTGTGATTTGCGAAGAAGAATTTTGCCTCTCTGACGGCCAACTCTTCATTTAAAGATCCGTGGAGATCGTTGCTTGTTCTTCTAGCCTCGTACGATGACGTTTGACCAATCAGTTTGTTCCAACGTTTGACAGCGTTTTCGCCAACTATTTCCATGGCAACCACAGGGCCCGATATGATGTGTTCGATTAAAGATGGCGCATAAGATTCCTCCTGCGAGTAATCGTAGAACAACTTGGCCTCGTGTCTCGTCAGTTGGCATACTTTCAGCTTGGTTATCTTAAAATCATTTTCTTCTATTATCTTCAACGTATCCGCCATTTGATCCATCCCCCCTGGTTTTATTAGAGCCAGAGTGTGCTCGTTATATTTACCTACGAATCTGGCGGTTCGACGGTCTGCATAATCTGCGATTTTGATTTGTCTCCCATAAACTCGTATTTCGTTTCCGATGAACATGTCATTGATGCGGACGGCTGGGAGGTTTGTTCTTCGTAAAAATACGCGGTTCACTTGTAGGTCTATCAGTTCCATCGTGTTGTCGCATGGAAAATAATTCAGGATGAATTTTTTCTCGCAAGATGAGTCGTAGTCTAACCATATTGTTTGGAATGACAGTTTGTCATTGAAGTCATAATCCTCGGGTTTTAGATCCATTTCCTGAAAAAGAATGTTTGTTTCGTAAGTTTTCTTGACATAATACTTGTTGCTATTGTTAACCATGTTACCATGGTGAAATACATTTTTAGGCCAGTACAGGCAAATATAATAACCCCCAAAGATTGGAAACACTCCCACCAATTATTAAATACATTTTTGCGCCTTAAAAGTGATAAAACGTGTTAATGGTTGTGAAATGTATTGTTGTTGGGTGCGGAAATGTAACGAATTTGTAAGTAGGCATTGACTATCCCGCGGTCCTAAGCCAAAAATATTCATTTTAAATATACATACATTTTTAAGTACTATATAACTCTTTAAAATTGCTAATTAAATTGAAGGTATCTTATGAAAAAAAAACAATAAAGCGCTATAATTTATAAAGTAAAAATGTTGAGTTGCGTCTTTTTGGCTTAGCACAGCAGTATCGCTCTAGCGAAAAAATACTGTTTGTTAATCATGAATTATTTAGGATTGCTTGTTTAATGGTAATTTAGTTCAGGCCAAGTCCAGGTTACTTCCCTGATAGCACACTTTATTCTAAGAATGTTTTTTAAACCTTCCAGTATTCTTAGGATCAAGCTAAATTTCTTCTAAAGAACATGCTTAAAAGAAATATAGCATGATCCTAAGAATATTCTTACTGGCCTATAGGCAGGTTCTTAGAAGGTGCAAAGTTTTAGTGGTAAAAATTAGTCTACTCTAAACATACACTTAGAATGTTAAGAAAGTAATTGCTATAGAAAGTTTATTTGGGAATATTCCTGTTAAGCATATTTAGTTCAGTTACCTATATAATCCAATCCAAAATATTTTTTTTATAGTTAATTGTTAAATTAAAACAATATTCGATAACAAAAATACTTTTACTTTAGGTATTATTTTATGTTAAAAATAAATATTTATTAATTTGTATAGCGATTTTTTATTTCTGAATTAACATTTTTATGTATAATAACTACATATCTTCAACTTCAATTTAATCTGACTTATCCCACAAAATTTTCCAATTTTACTTTTTATGAAATAATGTCATACAACTTATGGTTTAGAGGTCAAATTGTTTATTTAATATTTTTCAATAAATATATTAATATGTCGCAAATTTTTTTAAGGGGACGACAAATACATTTCACTGTCATATTATGACAGTGAGGCGTATTTGTCATCTCCTGAAGAATTTTACGAATGTAGAATACAACATATTAGAACGTGGGTATCTGACATATTTGGGAATATTCTCAAAAGCTTCCTAGAAGCTCCATAAGGAACCTTTTAAGAATATTCCAAAAACGTATTCTTAAAATGTTCTTGGGATGCTTTTTAAGAAGGTTTTAAGAAGCTTTTAAGAATCTAATTGCATCATTAAAAGGGTATCTATTGAATGTTTTAAAAGTCCCTAAGAACATTCTTAGCAATAAGGGAAGCTTCTAAGAATATTCCATTATTCCGGGTCATATCTTCTTAGAAGTTTCTTAAAATCAAATTTTGCTATCAGGGTTATGGTTGTTCCAAAACCAAGTGCTGGCAAGATGGATTTTTCACGGTTGGTTAGAACAAGCCAAAAGTCCACACTCAAAAGCCTTGTACAAATTCTTAAGTTTAATATCGTATAAGTAGCCTGGACCAAATTGCCAAATTTTGCAATATTCTCTTATTATTGAAGAATTAAGACTAATATTTTTTAGGTTTGCACTCCATAAACAAAAACATATTCATGATATTAATTTACATTTGGTAACATGAATTGACTGCAGCTGACCTAGACTTACCATTACTGTACCCAGTACAAATAGACTAACAATTGATATATAAGCAGTTTTTTACAATAAAAGGAAAGATAATGTTTAATCGGCACAGTTCGCAAAATTTAGGTAGGTACTACGGCAAAATCAAAAGGTCAGTACAACGTACGTGCATATAATCTTTTCAAATATTGGCGTCAAGAAACTATTTAATACTTTTATATTTTTGTATTAAGATAATAAAATAATTTTTACATTTAGTATTATTTTAACGATTGTATGACATTTGACAACAGTTACTATGAAGTTTTAGTCACGGGCAACACTTTTTTTAAGTTGGTTCATACTATGAACCAAAAACCTGTTGCTAACTTCAGCCCGTGACTAAAACGCCCCAAGCAGCATTTTTGGTTCCAAAAACCATAAACAAAGTGGTGATAACTTTAAATTAGTTAAGTATACTAAATAGCAATATTTTCTAACAGAAACTTTATTCTTTCCTTAAATGGTTACTATAAAGCAATAAACATTTAAGTAAAACTTGGTTGCCCCCAAGAAGATTTTGCAACTTTAAAAAAGGTGTTATAGGTAAAAAAAAACTTTCAAGTAAATTTAATTTGTAGCAGTTACTTTCGGTTGCTACCTAAAGATTACATTATAATTATTTTTACTTTGTAGTCCCTTTGCTAGTTAAAATCTCGAAACTGGAACATGAGTTAAAAACTACAAAGTTAATATCTTAAAAGTTATTATTTTAGTATTTGGAACGTTTATGGTACTAACCAAAACTACCGTAAAGTAAATTAAGGTGGAAAAAACTTTAAAGTAGCGAAAAATACTTCGAAGGAAAATGCTTCTTATCGGCCATTTTTTACTGGACAGTACCACGTGGTAATGTAAATAATAAATTATTTTAATTGTATGTAAATGGTTGTATACTTTTTAATAAATAGTAATTTTGTTGGTAATAGACGGTATTAATAATTAAATAAAAAAATTAATAATAAATATTTTATATTTTTTTTATTTATAAACATTACATAAATAATTTGTTTATACTTAAATATTGATGAAGCGCATTTATTTTACAAAAACTAAATTCATAAGTTCAACAGTAAAATTTAAAGGGTTTATAAATTTACCTGCCTAATTAAACATTATATTGTTATTCTGGAAGTTATAAACTACCAGGACATATTCGTAGCCAAGTCCGTAGTGTTTCCATTAAAAAAAGGAGGGATAGTATAATCTAATATATGTTTGACAAAGACAGTTAATATAGAAGTAAAAACAAATAAATAAAAGTAATTATAACGCTCTATCAACGATATTGAAACGTTCTAGTAACGTAGCAGCTACTTTCATAATAGTAGCAGGAATTATAGCTAGAGACATATTTGCTACCTTTTTGGAACTCAATAACAATTATTGTTCTACACTTTAGTCGTAACTTAGTAATGAAAGAGTAATATAAAGAGACCGGCGACTGTCGCAAAACACTTTAAAGTTTCTTCAATAGTCCCATATACGTATCAAATTAAATTGTTGCTTGGGGCCATAAAGCCACAACTTGTCAGTTTGTATTTAAAAGTTCACTTAGTGTCATGAAAACATGTACTATAATGGTCGTTTAAAAGGTGGAAGCAGAAAAACAAATTTATTTTTTCTTGAAAATTAAACAAGATAGAAAAAAATATAGAAGACAAAAAAATTGTATTTTTAATTGCTTAATCTAAAAATAATATCAAACTTTAAAAAATCAATAACGTACCCAAATTTTTTAATTAAATAATAATTACATTTTTTTATGTTTATTTGTTGATTACATTTGCGTAATCATCAAGGATATTTCTGATTTTAGGTCGATTTTACCAGTATCGTCAAAAGATTCACATGTGACATTTGGTAGCGATATGCTTTGTAATTATTATCATGTTACACACATAATTTAACAAGTGGCTTTCGCAGCTTTAATATTAAAATCAAAACGTATTTCCGTTTGACACAATCAATAAACCAATGGTTTATTTTGAAAAGATATTTAATTGTGTAATGATAAGCAAATAAATACGTTAAATGTCAAAATAAAGAATACTTTTCTAACAAAATGAATAAAAATATGTTTTATAGCATAGAATCAGTGGCGGCCCGTCAGGGGAGGCAGGTGAGGCAGTGCCTCATCATAGAGAATTAAAAAATTAAGTATAATTTAAATATTTTACTTTCTATAATATACTATAAATTTTTAATATTTGGATTACATGAATTGTGAAATAGTCAACAAAATTGGTTGATTTTATACGTGGAATACCTAGCAACATTTAAATTATTTGAATTTGAAACGACCGCAATTTAAACTAAATATTTATAGCTAGATGATTGGCTCAGAAGCATGGGCCCCCGACAAGTTTAGTCCACCACATTTTATTTGTATTTTCTCTTTAAAAAACACATTTAAGTAATTTAATTAACACTTCGGTTTGGTACAAAAAAGGTTTAATAAGTTAAGGCTTATTTCATTAAACCTTTTTTGTACCAAACCGAAGTGTTTATTAAATTACTTAAATGTGTTTTTTAAAGAGAAAATGCAAATAAAAAGGCGTTTGCCAACTTTACCAAAAGAAACCATTTACGCATCGTGTGGAATCCCAACTAGCTTATGTAAATATGAAATGTTATTTTATTTGATATCGCCAAAAACATTTAATGGAAAGAGCTCAATTATAGTGTACCTAACTGCCTACTTGTTCGTAACAACTGTCCAGATTGTTTATAATATATTACCAGAAATCCATTGTTATACGGATTCCTTACATATATATACATATATACGAGGTATGTTCAGAAAATAACGGGAATTGTTAAATTTCTCGGGTTCGGAGGGTCCGGTTGTCATAAAATTTTCTTTATTATATTCGTATACATGCTCCCGAAGTATGATGATGTCTGTGGCAGCCGCTAAGGTTAGACGTGTTTTATGAGCTCGGCGATTTTTCGTTCGTTAAAAGAAATGGATCAAAGAATTTGTATCCAATTTTGCTAGTCTGCTATAAGTAAAACAAGAGTTTAAAAGTGGTATAAGAGTTTCCAAGATGGCCGTGAAGACGTTGAAGATGACGAACGCCCTGAACGCACAAGCACATTAAAAACCGATAAAACATGGAAAAAGTGGAAGAAATGGTTATAAAATATCAGTAAAGTCGCTGATGATGTTGGTATATCGATTGGCTCATCCCATGAAATTTTTTCGAATAT